CACGCACAATAACATTTAAGATGGAGTGGTGGGTCCGTTGGCAAACCTGGGTTAGGAGTGGAGGAGGATGATTTGCACCTTACCTTGTCACCGGGATCATAGCGTTGGTGCGCGGTGCACAACCAGGAATAGAATAGAATTAGAATTAGAATAGAATAGAATTAACTGAATTGAATAGAATAGAATTCTTTATTGGCCAAGTGTGATTGGACACACAAGGAACTTGTCTTGGTGCAAATGCTCTCGGTGTACATAAAAGAAAAAGAGACATTCGTCAAGAGTCAAGAATCATCAGGTGCAACACTTAACGATAGTCACAGGGTACAAATAAGCCATCAAACCGTACTAGGAGGCAGGCTGGCTCAGCCACTCAGTTGGGGGTTGTGCGGATGCATCTTTTAAATATTGGGAGAGCGTCGCTGCAGATCCCTTGAAGCCAGTTGCTCGCCTTCTCAATCTGTTCCACGGCTTGATTGTGAAGAGATCCTAAGGAAGCGGGGAGGAAGGCAAACAAAATACAGGCGGTCCTCGACTTACAACAGTTCATTTAGTGACTATTCAAAGTCACAAGGGCACTGGAAAAAAGTGACTCGGAGCCGTTTTTCACGGGTACAACCCTGGCAGCGTCCCCGTGGCAACGTGTTCAAAAATTCAGGTGCTTGGCAACTCATGTTTACGACGGAGTCACGTGATCCCTTTTTACGACCTTCTGACAAGCAGAGTCAACAGGGAAAGCCAGACTCGTTTAACAACCACGTCACTAACTTAACCGTAGTGATTTAACACCTGTAGCAAAAAAAAGGTTGTAAAACAGCACAAAGCTCAATACCTGTCTTGCTTAGCAACAGAAATTTCCTCTTCTTCCTCCTCCTCCCTCTTTCAAATTTACTGAACCAATGTCTTGCTTTGCAGCAGAAATGTTGGGCTCAGTTGTCGTAACTCTGTACAAATGATTGATCTGGCCTCCTTGTGAAAATCCCGTCTTTTTCCTGCATCCTTTTATAGGAATAAGATTCTGTCTAAAAATGGCCAAACAAACTCCCTTTCCTGAGCCCTTATAAAGAAAAGGGCCTCTCCATGCTGGATGGGGAATGCTGGGAACTGAAGTCCACAAATCTTAAAAGATTCCAGATTTGAGAAACACCGTGTCAGCTGGTGCTCCATTCAAAATCCAAGAAAGAAACACTTAGGCTCTTTTAATTAGAGAAAAGGTATCTTTTACTGGAAATGAAGTGGTGGCAACGAGAGAATTCTGAATCTGAGGAAATAGGTGCGTAAAATCACATATACAAAGTGATGGAAATGTCCCCACCCCCAATAGTTCAAATGGTTCTTCCAATTAAAAGTTGTGAATACGATCGTGTGGGCATCTTCAGGTGGTGATGAGGTTTCTGTCCGTTGACCTTGGCATACTTTGATAAAGATTTGCACCTGCGCAGAGAAAAGAAAGCTAAGCAAGAAATAGAAACCTAAGCAAGAATTTACTCTCCCCCCTCCTCATTTTATACAACACTAGATTGTAACACCTCCATCTCGCTTCCCCATACTTTTCCCCCTTCCTCCCCACCCCCGTTACTTACGACAGCCGAAAGATGCAAAGCAGAAGTAGAAGAGAGATGGAAGCAATTTCAGGAATTTAAGCAAATAAGTGAAAAATCGGGGTATTTTTCAGACAAAGCGGGTTGATCGAAGGACTGGAGGCTAAAACATATAGAGAACAGTTGCTGGAATTGGGTGTGTCTAGTTGAGTAGAAAGAAGGACTAGGGGTGACAGGATAGAAGTCTTCCGATATTTGAAGGGCTGCCCCAGAGAAGAGGGAGTCAATCTCTTCTCCAAAGCATTTGAATTCAGGACAAGAAGCAACTGTTGGCAACTCATCAAGGAGAGGAGCAACCTAGAAGTAAGGAATAATTTCCTGGCAATGCGAACAATTAAACCAGTGGAACTCCTTGCCAGCAGAAGTTGTGGGCGCTCCATCCCTGGAGGTTTTCAAAAAGAGACTAGATGACCATTTGTCTGAAATGGTGTAGAGTTTACTGCCTGAGCAAGGGGGTTGGACTAGAAGACCTCCAAGGTCCCTTCCAACTCTATATCAAGGGGGCTTGAAACTCGACAGCTTGAAGACTTGTGGACTTCAACTCCCAGAATTCCTCCTCCAGTCCATGTTAGCTCAGGAATTCTGGGAGCTGAAGTCCACAAGTCTGAACCTGTCCAAGTTTGAAGACTCTTGTTCTATATTCTACATTCGGAAGGATTGCTTGTAGCAGAGGTAGTTTTTCCCCCCCCCCCTCTTCCATACATTTATTTAGCAACCATTTGAAATTACAACGGCATTGGGGGGGGAAAAAAGTGTTCCGTGACCAGTCCTCGTACTTATGACCATCCCAGTCGCGTGATCAAAATCTCAGCGCTTGGCAACCAGCACCTAGTTGATTTTTTTGTTCTTGTTGTCGTGGGCGGCCGAAGGAAAAACAGAAGCAGAAAACGCAAGACTTGAGAAAAGTTTGGCGGTTTGAGGCTTTCATTGTGGATTATTTTGGAGAAGCAGGCTGGCTGGGGAATTCTGGGAGTGGAAGTCCACCCATCTTTTTAAAGTGGCCCAGGCTGGACATCCTCGTGATCTGCAGAGAGATCTACCGCAACCTTTAGGATCCTTTTACTTTTCTTCCCGTTTGCATGTACAGCAAATTTTGCTTGCCAAGGTGACAAGTAACCCAATACATTCTCAGCTACCCGTTTCATGCCTGCCAGTCCTCGAAAGAAAGGAATTTAGGCAGCCTAAATCTGTGGAATGTGTGAAATAAAACCCAGCAATATAAGGATCTTGGGTTGTTGAGTAACCTTGTCCCCAGTGCAGCAAGGACAGATAAGCTCACAATTCTTTGGGTGTGCGTGGGTGTGTGGGTGTGTATTTATTCCCCAACCCAGAATACATTTACACAAAATTCCAAACCCCAACGTTCATGTCATTTACACAAATTATACAAATTAGAAACTATTTGGGACATGACATTATTTAACAAACATGCCCTATTCAAAAAATGATGTGTAAACATTGGCTCTCACCTCAATTCTTCCATCTTGAAAGTTTAAGATTAAACAGTGAAAGCACTCTTTTCTGACCCCAAATAACATCAAAACAATTGTGAAACGTTAGTTTTCAGTAGCTGTATAGAAAAGAGACTGGGAAATTAATTGGACAACAATAATTTCCGTGTATCCACCTGCTAAACCTCAAAACAAAAATATTTTATGAAGCAGCTGAATGCTACGTCAGCATGCTGTGGAAAGTTATTAAAATGGAGAATTTGGGGGATGCATGGTATATGGTCTCTGTAGTAGTCTTGACTTACGACCACAATTTGGATCAGAATAATTGAGCAGCGGTTATTAAACAAGACGTTTTTGCTCGATGATCACATTCCTGAGACACCAGACTGTAGTCGTTAAATAATTAAACACAAACGCACCTGTAACACAGCATAGCACCGCTTATTTGCATCGTTGGCAGTCCTCGGTTTACGAACATTCGTTTAGCGACGGTTCAGGGTGACGATGGCAGCGAAAGAAGGGACTTCACGATCGGTCCTCGCGCTGACAACCATTTTCAGCATCCCCGCAATGACTTGAGGAAAATTCAGGCACCTGGGAACCGGCAGGCATTTAATGACGGGTTGAGATGTCCAAGAGTCACGCGATCGCCACTTCCGACAAGGAAAAATCTTTGGGGGGAGGAGCCAGATTCGCTTAATGACCACGTGGTTCACTTAACTGAAGTGATTTGCTTAGCCACCGTGGCAAGGAAGGTCATAATTGGGGCAAAAGTTACTTAACCGCCTCGCTTGGCCACGTAAATTTTGGGCTCAGTTGTGTCGTAAGCCGAGGACTACCTGTAAATAGCTAAGCATAGATTTTTCTCCCCACCTTTGGCGATACAAGGTCATAAAACAGGGCGGGGCTCACCTAACAAAGGCATTCCTCAGTGACATAAATAGTCCCAGTTGTGGTTGTAGGTCAAGGATTATCCGTATCTGGGAAACCTCTGCTTGGTTTAGGAGCCAGGGGGCCTTCCGAGCATGGTGAGAAGGGAGATCGTTTGCGCCAAGGAGGCGTGAAATTCCACCGCTTAGAATAATTGACAATTGTCTGCAGGGGCCTTTTGTGGAGGGTTGTGGGCCAGGGAAGGCGGCTTCCCCTGGGGGGGTAGGAAATTAACAGAGTGGAGGGAAAGAAAGGAGAAGGAAAAGGAAGGGAAGGAAAGGAAAGGAAAGGAAAGGAAAGGAAAGGAAAGGAAAGGAAAGGAAGGAAGGAAGGAGCGAGCACAGGATGACAGGAAGGAAGACAGGAAGGAAAGGAAGGAAGGAAAGGAAGAAAAAAGGAACAAAGAAAGGGAGGGAGGAAGACAGGAAAGAAACAAAAGGAAAGAAAGGAACAAAGAGAATGGGAGGGAGGAAGACAGGAATGAGAAAGAGAAAAAA